CTTTTCTTCTTCTTCTTCGTCTTTGTCTTAGTCTTTTTGTGATTATTATTGTGATTGTGATCATGATCATGATTATTGTCAATATTGTTAATGTTATTATTAATGTTATTATTGTTATTATTATTGTTGTTATTATTATTTCTATTATTATTATTGTTATTATTATTGTTATCATTTTGTATTGTTAATATTATTATTTATCATTATTATTGTTTTTATTATTTTTGTTGCTGTTGATGCTGTTGTTGTTACTATTACGTTTGTTATTACAATTAATATTACTATTAGCTACTATTCCGATTACTACTACTACTATTGATAATAATAATAGTAGTAGTGTTAGTACTAATAGAGAGTTTAGTAATATTTTTTAGTTTAATAATAGTGAGTTAGGTTTGGTGATTTTTTACTACTGTTTATCCTGAATAGAACTTTCCATATTGGTTCATCCGGATTTTTAAATGTGATTTTGGTGATTGATTTCATTTGATTAACCGACTCACTCTGGTAATATATGACTATACAACTTGCAAAAGAATATAAATTTATTAAGATGCTTTTATTACACTTGCATCATAGAGGGCTATCCTGGAATATTATGATGAATTGCCTGCGGAAGTTTAAGGGTGTACGAAAAGAAATTATATCTATGAGTATGGTAATTGCAGACTAGGAAAAAGTGGAGAAAATAAGTAAGTGAAATTGATAAACGCCGAGAAGGTATTAAGGCGGATTAAGGAAAACTCTCTCTCTCTGTCTCTCTCTCTCTGACTCTCTCTTTCTCTCTCTCTCTCTCTGTCTCTCTCTTTCTCTCTCTCTCTCCCCCTCCCTCCCTCCCTCTCTCCACCCCCCTCCCTCCCCCCTTCCTTATTCTCCATCCCTTCTTCCATCCTTTCCCCTCTCTCTTCTCCTCCCCACTCCCTCCCCCTCCGCCTGCTCCTCCCGCTTCCTTATTCTCTCGTTCCCCCTCTCCCTCTCCTCCCCTCTCTTCTTTCCCTCTCTTTGGCCCGCTGGCGATTACAAACATGAGCTACAGTAAACCCTCAATGAACCGCGACGTTATAAAAGGTGACTAGCAAGAGAGAATAAACGAGAGAGAAAAAAAATGAGGGAAAGAAATTTCGAAAAGAACGAGGGGAGAGAAAAAAATCGGAAAGAAAATTTGAGGAGCTGAGAAAGAGAGAAAAAATAAGAAGAAAAGAAAAAGAGAAAAGGAAAGAAGATAAAGAGGGAATAAATGCATAAACTTTACCGGGTCATTTGTGTTTGGAAGTAACGGTTCTTTTCTCTGTTGGTTCGGACCGGTTCGAAGGAGGGCTTAGACGCGGTTCCGTATTTTCTTTATTTGTCGGCTGTCTGTCTGTGTGTGCTCTTGTCGAGGTGTTCGTGTCTTTGCGGTCCTGTTTCCCCGTATCTTGGCCGGATTGTCTCTGTCTGTCATTGTCTGTCTCTTTTAGTCTGTCTGCCCGTTTGTCCCTGTCTCTGCTTCTGTGTGTATCTGAATCCGTCCGCGCCTTCGTCTGCCTGTCTTCCTCTCTCCCTCTCTCTCTCTCTTTCTCCCTCTCTTTCCCTCTCTCCCTCTCTTTCCCTCTCTCCCTCTCTCCCTCTCTCTCTCTCTCCTCCTCCTCCCTCCCTCCCTCCCTCCCTCCTCCCTTTAGGGAGGGAGGGAAGGAAGGAAGGAAGGAAGGAAGGAGGGAGGGAGGGAAGGAAGGAAGGAAGGAAGGAAGGAAGGAAGGAAGGAAGGAAGGAAGGAAGGAAGGAAGGAAGGAAGGAGGGAGGGAGGGAAGGAAGGAAGGAAGGAAGGAAGGAAGGAAGGAGGGAGGGAGGGAAGGAAGGAAGGAAGGAAGGAAGGAAGGAAGGAAGGAAGGAAGGAAGGAAGGAAGGAAGGAAGGAAGGAAGGAAGGAAGGAAGGAAGGAGGGAGGGAGGGAAGGAAGGAAGGAGGGAGGGAGGGAAGGAAGGAAGGAAGGAGGGAGGGAGGGAGGGAGGGAGGGAGGGAGGGAGGGAGGGAGGGAGGGAGGGAGGGAGGGAGGGAGGGAGGGAGGGAGGGAAGGAAGGAAGGAGGGAGGGAGGGAGGGAGGGAAGGAAGGAAGGAAGGAAGGAAGGAAGGAAGGAAGGAAGGAAGGAAGGAAGGAAGGAAGGAAGGAAGGAAGGAAGGAAGGAAGGAAGGAAGGAAGGAAGGAAGGAAGGAAGGAGGGAGGGAGGGAGGGAGGGAGGAGGGAGGGAGGGAGGGAGGGAGGGAGGGAGGGAAGGAGGGAGGAGGGAGGGAGGGAGGGAGGGAGGGAGGGAGGGGGGAGGGAGGGAAGGAAGGAAGAAGAAGGAAGGAGGGAGAGAGAGAGTGGGGGAGGGAGGGAGGGAGGGAGGAAGGAAGGAAGGAAGGAAGGAGGGAGAGAGAGAGTGGGGTAAGGAGGGAGGGAAGAGAGGGAGGGAGAAAGGGGGGGAGGAGGGAGGGAGGGAGGAAGGGAGGGATAGAGGAAAGGAAGGCGGGTGGGAGGGAAGGAG